CATTCAACAGTTGGAAAATCAAATCTGCAAAATTTGAAATGAAAACTCCAAAGTTGCAAACCTTAAATTGAATAAACAAAAAAAAAAAAACGAAAAATTGCATATCGAAATATTGAAGAATGAAAATTATAAAAACGAAATATTGAAAAATCAAAACAATTAGAAAGTAAAGGAAATATGCAAAATCTAAAAATTGAAACATAAAAAATTTTAAAATCGAAAAACTGGAATTGAAGAAACAAACAAAAAATGAGAAATTGAGGAATTGCAAATGAAAAATTTGACTGAACAAAATATAAAATCGATACACTGAAAAATCTAAAATTGAATAAACAAAAAATTTAAAACCGAAAAATTGCAACTCCAGAAAGTGCAAAATTTTACATCAAAAAAAGAAAATATATAAAATCACAATATTGAAAAACCAAAAAATGAAAACGTAAAGAAAATAAAAACCGAAACTCAAACCGAAAAATTGCAACATCTAAAAATTGAAAAATTCAAAGATTGGAAAATTGAAAAACTGAAAATTTTACACTCGAAAAATTGCAAATCGAAAAACAAAAGAAAGTAAAAAATTGACAATCAAGTCAAAAAAGTGTTATTTACACCACTGGTTTTTACTTTATATAGATTATGAGAAAAGAAAATTGCAATTTTTTTTAATAATTTTTCAAAGAAGCGGTATTTGTTGGGCTGCACTTTAGGAGCGAGGGAAGTTCAGTCGAGGTAGCCAGTTTTTTACTTGTTATTATTAATAGCAAATATCGAGCACTATTAATATTGGTGTTTTTTCGTCAGGTTGACAACATATTTAAAAATTTACGATGACAACCTGATTGCAAATTGACATTCAGCAGTGGTGCCAATAATTCAGAATTGCCAACATAAAAATCTGCTTCAGTCACTAATAGTCACCCGTTATGTTTACCCAGCAGCTATCATGGGACTAAAAGATGAACTTTTATATTCGTCACCTTAGAACTGGTTTGCCGCATATCCAAATCGCGTCCGAGGGATTTTCGCCTCTACTGCTTGGTGCAGATTTGCCGCATGTCGCACTTGGGCGAAGCGAAACATAGTTTAGATTCAGTGCTGATTTGCCGCATGTCCAAGCAGAAATTGATACAGTACCGTTATCCGTTTTTACGTACTTCCTTGCTGTTTTGCTTTTCAGCGTTAGGTTTGGGGTTGGGAAAGAAATCGTATTCAACTTCACGCGCAGAACAATAAGAATAATGTGAAATAAATAAAAAAGAGACTTCACAATTTTGATGAATCTGAAATTTAAAAAAAACAACTGTAATTTGTGCAACTCTTTTTCTGTTGTTATAGATGTTACAAATATTTTCGATTTTTTTTTTAAGAAAGATTGAGTTTCAAATTATTAGATTCGAAATTTTACAAATTTAAATTTCAAATAGATTTGTTGCTCGTTAAACAAATAATTTAATTTTTTACTTAACAGTAACATTTTTATTTAATGATTTCTCGGAAATGATTGAACTTATTTTCAATAAAATTTTAGTCAACAAAATTCATAATGCTGCATACCTATATTCGTATTTGTGGAAATGATATTTCCACATCAATAATTACAGATAATAATAGATACATTTTTCAGAGATAATTAAGATTAAGATTTCTTAATCAACTTCACGCGCAGAACAAGAAATACGGCAAGGACTCATAATGTGAAATAAATGAAAAATTGAAACGATATTAGAAATCTCGTGGTGAAGTAGTTAACTAAGTATAACGAACAATGAATGTTAAGTTATTGATGTTTTGATTCGATTTTTTCTAAATATTTTTAAAATAAAGAGACTTATTTTTCTTTATTTTTATATAAAATCTACATTTGATAAAACTCATTGCAGTCATTCATTTTTCCTAAAAACTGTAGAATCCAAATATTGCATTGTTAATTTCCATTGTTAAATGGTGAATTGTGAACGAAATACGGAGTACCAAATTTAAATGTGTTTTACAGAAAGGAACTATTTTTACAAAGGATAATAAAATGATATTTTCTTTGCATTGGCGGAGTAAAGGCGGCTCGTTGACTCGCTGCAGTCCTACTAAAATTGCAGCTTAATATGTAATTTTTTTTATATAAAATATTCAAACTGATAAAGAACACTCGGGTAAAAATAGGTTGTTGTCTCAAACAATTGGATTCCAGTATTTTATTAGATTACGTGGATATTGACTACAAGTAGCTATTGTCGGGCAACCAGAGAAAATTAGCAGTGATACTGTTTAAAACTGTAAATGCAGTATATTTGGATTTGGAAATAAATCATTCGTTACCATGTCTTATGTATCAGTGACAATTATGTTGACTGCAACCCAAATCTATTTGATTACCCCTAACTCCATAATATCTAGTACTTAATATAGTTATACGCTTTTCAGTTGAAAATGAAAGAATTATTTGTACTGGTAGTTGTAAACAATTGTATAAATATTTCCGTTGGATTCCTTTGCGAACTCTTTGTCAATTATTATTTATGATACTATGGTATGATCCCAAACTGTTTAGAGAAGAAAGGGAGGCTGTGGTGTGCGCACGTAAACTTGTCCTATTTCTTTCCAATACATTAGCTCTAAATATTAGCTCTCTGTCTATCATCTCCTACGTGCGCTTATCATAGACTCCTTTTATCTAAAAAGTATGCAGTATTTCCCGCGCAAACCAGCAGTCAGATCTCTAGATTGCCTGGCCTCGTGATTTGTCACGTATTTTTAAATAACATACAGTTTTCTAAATTTGCTGAAGTACTACTAAACTACAAAAATAAATAAACGGGTAAATTATATTCTCAAATTATAACTCCGAATTAAACATGCCGTGAACCCTACTAAGTATAAATTAAACGTCATTGTTTGCTAACTACATAATTGATTAAACTTATTATTTTAATAAGGTAAGGTATTAAACTAGACAGAGACGTGAATACTTTTTTTTACTAATTTTAATAATTCTTATAAATGAGTAGATACTTAATAATAAAGCAATACATATTATTATACGCAAAAAATGTATTTGCATGTTTTTGCATAAACTTCCTGCACTTATAATTTATGAACAGTATTTTGGACGATGCTCAATTAATTGATAAATAATAGTATGTTGATGTAAAAAGAGTATCATTACATTACTTCAAATTCTTTTAACTTTCTTTATGTCGTATATCCTGGTTCCAAAATCTCAAGAAATTAGGGTTATGGTAATTTAATTCAATCTGGGTGCTTAGGGTAAAAACTCAATAAACAACAAATGAAAAAGTATGTTATTTTTAAAAATCATATAACATTTATTGCTGTAAAAGTTGGAGATGACGTTATATGATGGGGAGGATGATTACAAATGTTGGTCAGCGTTTTATCAACTGGAAACGAGAGACCTATGTTTTCGTATTATAGGAGTCATGAAACGTTGAGAAGCCATAAAAGTAGCCAGTCGCCCGATGAACTTGATTACAATAGTTCCTTAGCTTACGCTCGAGATATAAAAAAAAATAAACAATAACATTTGGATTTAATAGCTTTTGATATCTGGTATACCTAAACAGTGAGTGAATTTTATGCGGCTATTATTACCATTACATATAACCATCCAGTTAAATTAATTGGTAAAAAAATTTACCCATAAATAAGTTATTGTAAAGTTATTTTTATTTACACGCGTATAATTGCACAACAATAATTGTTAGACAAATAGAATGATAAAGAAAGGCAATGTCATATTAAAAAACAAATTACTCGTTTCGATGTAAGGTACCTTATATAAGTTAACAACATACATCTATTTAGTTATTATAGGTAAAATTCTAATACGGAATTTGTTCTTGAAGTAAGTCGTAAATTGTAAATAGCTATAAATTCGGAAATAATTCTTTTTAAAAGATACAAGTCAAAAATGTATTAGGCATGATTGTCAAGAAACATTCCAATTCTGTTTCAAATTTGCAAGCATTTTATGTCAAAAGCTGATTTTTGTAAACGTTCCAGTAATAAATTTCGAAGCAAAATCCACCTAAACAGATTTTGCTTCGAAATTTTAATTTTCATATTACTTTTACAACATTTTAATTTAAAAAATTAAAAATGTATCTATTATTTGTGATTATTGATGTAGAAATATCGTTAATAAAATGTTACTGTTTAGTAAAAAATTAAATTATTTGTTTATCGAACAACAAATCTATTTGAAATTTAAATTTGTAAAATTTCGAATCTAATAATTTGAAAATATTTGTAACATCTATAACAACAGAAAAAGAGTTGCACAAATTACAGTTGCTTTTTTTTAATTTCAGATTCATCAAAATTGTTAAGTCTCTTTTTTATTTATTTCACATTATTCTTATTGTTCTGCGCGTGAAGTTGAATACGATTTCTTTCCCAACCCCAAACCTAACGCTGAAAATCAAAACAGCAAGGAAGTACGTAAAAACGGATAACGGTACTCTATCGATTTCTGCTTGGACATGCGGCAAATCAGCACTGAATCTAAACTATGTTTCGCTTCGCCCAAGTGCGACATGCGGCAAATCTGCACCAAGCAGTAGAGGCGAAAATCCCTCGGACGCGATCTGGATATGCGGCAAACCAGTTCTAAGGTGACGTATTGTATATCTATGTTTAACGTGTATAAAAACACATTAAACATAGCTGCGCGCCTAAAAAAATCAAAACGCAACCAATAATACAGTTACGTAGCAATTTTTGATATTTACTATCAGCATTTTTTATCATTTATCATTATATTAAAAATAAATTTCGTGGCCTACTAAAGAACTTTAGACTATAGGTATAGTTTATTCACTGGATAGCATAGAACCACGTTTAAACTGTAAAGTTTACCCAGTGCATTTTTTTTTGTTTTGCCTCAGGAATTTTTGTTTTTGAAAGAGATCAAAAAAATCTTGAGGGCTCCTAGTGTTTTCCCACTACTCCCTAATTACTTCTTAAGCTTACTCCACCACTTCCAGAACCCCAAAAGAGGTCGCTTCTGCTTCGAGCTGCGCATGACCGCCGGCCACAAATCCTACCTCCTCGCCGCCGAGAACGACGCCGACTTCAAAGACTGGCTCTCCAAGCTCAGCTCCGTCCTCCACCAGAACAAGGTCCAGGAGGAAAAGCGCGCCGCTTCTCTCGAACGAGGTACGTTCTCCCCCTTTCTCTCCCACTCTCTCACACTCCTTCCGCTTCCAGAGCGCAACACCCCTCCGCCGTCGCCGCAGGTGCAGCCCTTCGGCACCCTCAAAGGCCTCGAGCAGAGCATGAACCCCCAGCTCATCAAGTACGCCCGCGAGACCGACGTCAGCATCGCCTCCTCCCGCAAGGAGAACCGCCACAAGCTGTTCCCGCTCTACCCCCAGCTCGCCGCCAACCTCAAGCCTTCCAATTCTAGTCAGAACCAAGTCGAGCCGTACAAGGAGGTCTTCGGCAACCGGGTGTTCCTCAAGTGCGAGAGCATCAAGTTCCGGCTGCAGGCCGTCGACGAGAAGGAGAATCTGTGCCAAGTGGAGCCCTACCACACCACGCTGTGCCTGTTCGATGCCAAAAACGCGAGGAAGTTGACCGAGAACTTCCACTTCGACGTGAACAGCGCCTGCATCAGGAGGACGATGTTCGCGGGATGCGAGGGGGAGGCAAGGGTGGAGCTGCCGCAAGGGGTGGGGCAGCAGTGGCTGTTCTTCCCGAGGCAGGCGCTCATCAGTATTACCAACCCCCATCCGGACATTTTTCTGGTGGTGAGGATCGAGAAGGTGTTGCAGGGGGGGATCTGCCAGAGCTCGGAGCCCTACGTCAAGGCCAATAAGGACCCGAAGGTGAGTCTGAAGGTCTACAAGAACATCGGAATGTGCTGCCAGAGGCTGGGGAACTACCGGATGCCTTTCGCCTGGGCTGTTAGACCGTTGTTTAGGTGAGTGAACCTGAAGAAAAATTTCATGGAAATTACCTTCTTTCTTGTTCCAGATTATATAGTAACGAATTAGATAATACTTCGGATTTCCACGCCATCTACCGGCAGGAACCCAACAAGCTGACTGACGAGGAACTGTTAAAGCTGTTAACAGAGTACCGAAAGCCTGATAAATTTAGTAAATTCACTGTGATCCCCGGTTCCTTACACATAAAAATTACTGCCATGAACGAGTTACCTTCTAGTAAGTCGTCTTCACACCCCTTGCCGCCTTCTAACCCCTCGTCTCTTCCAGATTGTCTGACCACCGCTCTGGTCCCCCTCAAGCCCTTCCCGGTACCCCCCAGCACCGAACCCACCATAGAAGTCATCGAGTTCGAAGCCTGCTCCGAAAAAGACATCCACCCGTACACGACGTTCGTCAACCACCTCTACGTCTACCCCCTCTGCCTCAACTTCGACACTCAGAAGATGTTCGCGAGGGCGCGCAACATCGCCTGCTTGGTGGAGCTGCGCGACTCGGACAACGAGGAGGCGAGGGGGCTGCCCTGCATTTACGGCAGACCGGGGCAAGGGCCGCTGGTCTCGCAGGCCTCCTGCGCAGTGCTGCATCACAGTACCATACCCACGTGGTACGAGGAAGTCAAGATCAAGCTTCCGATTAATTTGTTGTCGACGCATCACTTGTTGTTTAGTTTTTACCATATTTCCTGTGATATTACGAAGAAGAGAGAGAATGGAATCGAGAACTGCGTCGGGTATGCGTGGCTGCCGCTGCTGCAGAAGGGGAAACTGAATGTGGAGGTGCAGACGATACCGGTGGCGGCGCATCTGCCCCCGGGGTACTTGGCGGTGCACCCGTTCGGGCTGGGCAAAGGGGTGAGTGCAGGCGCTTTGCTGAAAAACAACTGTTCAAGAGTTGAAAATTTTATTCGGATGTCAAATTTCATAAATGTCAAAAATGAAAAGTTCTTTTCGAAATGTCAAAATTGCCATAGATGTAACCACCAATGACTTTCGTACTTCGACTTCTGGATTTTTTGGTTATTCATTTTTTCAATTTTTAAATTTCTCAATTTTTCAATTCTCCAATGTTTGACGCTTCTGCTAAATTTTCGATTTTTCGATTTCCGTATTAATATTTTCTGTTTTTTCGACTTTTCAATTTCTCGAATTTTCGATTTTTCAGTTTTTCAGCTTTTGGCTTATTCAGTTTTTGGAATTTTTACATTTTCGATTATTTGACTTCAATTATTATTGGACATTTCGATTTCTCATTTTCAGTTTTTCTATTCTTCAGTTTTTGGACTTTCTCGATTTTTTCATTTTTCTATTTCTTAATTATCGGATGTTTCCCTTTTACGATTTTCATTTTTTCCATTCATTGATTTTTCGAATTTTTAAATTTTCGACTTTTCGTTTTCTCGATCATTCAATTTTTCGATTTACCGATGTTTCAGTTTTACAACTTTTCCACTTTTCGATTCTTTTATTTGTTGATTTTAAAATTTTTCGGTTTCGTTTTCAACGTTTCCTAATTTTTCAATTTTTCAATTTTTACTTCCCGAGCGTAAGGAAGTATTGTAATCGAGTCCGTCGGCCGACTCTCTACTTTTACGTTTTCTCCATCTTTCATGACTCCTAGAATACGAAAAAATAGGTCTCCCATTTCCGTCTGTCTGTCCGTCCGTCTGTCCGTCTGCCGTCCCGGATTTTTATTAGACAGATAATCTCCGAAAGTACTGGATCGATTGTTGTGAAATTTTGTACTTATCTTAGGAATATCATGTAGATGGTAAAACGCTAACCAAAATTTGTCTAATCATCCCCACCACTAATACGATGACGTCACTTAAAAATTGTACATAGTAAATGGGTCTTAAATTGTATAAAATAACATAGTCCTACACATGTAGTTTACGACTCCGAATTCAGTTTTTACCCGAAACGTCCAGGTTTTTGGAAAAAAAATCAAAATCATAAAACAACATTTTGCAATTTAATTTTGAATCTGCTAACCCGAATGTTTTAAAATGTTGCAGATGTTTTAAGGCTCTAAAGAGCATCATAAATCTTTAGTCAAAATATATTTGGTTATCCCCTCCAAAAACTTGATGACGTCAGCTCAAAAGTTTGCCGAATAAATCCTATCTAAAATGTACAAAATATGATGCGTCTGTACTTGTGATATATCACTCCATTCATATTTTTTGGATTTGCATATACAGGGTGACTCAAAAAAATTAATGAATGCGCAAAATTTATTTTACTGATTTACTCAGGAACTACAAAACCGAATGCTTTGAAACTTGAAGATGTTTTAAAATTATCATAAGCATGGTAAATTTTTGATCAAAATGTATTTGGTCGTAACCTCCTAAAAAATTTATGACGTCACCACAAAATTTTGCTGAATAAATCCTATCTAAAATGTACAAAATATGATGAGTCTGTACTTGTCATTTATCACTCCATTCATATTTTTTGGATTTGCATATACAGGGTGACCGAAAAAAATTAATGAATGCGTCAATTTATTTTATTGAGTTAATCAGGAACAACAAAACCGAATGCTTTGAAACATAGGAGATGTATTAAAGTTATCATAAGCACGTTAACTTTTTTATCAAAATGTATTTGATATCCCCTCAAAAAATTTGATGACGTCAGCTCGAAAGTTTGCCGAATAAATCCTATCTAAAGCGTAAAAATATGATGAGTCTGTACTTGTGATTTATCACTTGATTCATATTGTTTAGATTTTCTTAAGAGGTGGCTCAAAAAAATTAATGAAGTCAATTTATTTTATTGATTACATTAAAGGCAACACTTATTATTAGTATTACATTGGACCAACCCAATTTGGTAGACACAAAATTTTTTAAAGGAAAAACTCGGTTGAAACATAAGGGTAGCACGCTTATTTACATCGACTTTAACATTACAGACCTGCATTTGTTTTATGCGCTGTCTAGGTTCCGCGAATGTGGAATAGACATGTTTATAATCAACCAGTTGTGAATTTCACCGTCAAGAATTAAAATAAAACCCAATGTTTTATATAATAAGCGGAAGTCGAAGCAATAAAACCGATGGTCGTTTTGTTTACAGTTTCTCTGTTTGACTCTCACGTATGCTGTCACGCTTGTCATCTTAAATTAAGAATGTTTATACATAAACGATTTTCAGTTGCCTTTCATATTACTAGCCCTTTTGTACTTAAATTAGCCATATCATGTAGATGGTAAAACGCTAACCAAAATTTGTATAAAATAACATAGTCCTACATCTGTAGTTTACGACTCCGAATTGAGTTTTTAAGTGAGTGAGTGAGTGAGTGAGTGAGTGAGTGAATCATGAATCACGAATCACTAATCACGAATCACAAATCACTAATCTCGAATCACGTATCACTAATCTCAAATCACTAATCACGAATCACTAATCACGAATCACTAATCACTAATCACGAATCACTAATCACGAATCACTAATTACGAATCACTAATCACGAATCACTATTCACGAATCACTATTCACGAAACACTAATCACGAATCACTAATCACAAATCACTAATCACGAATCACTAATCACGAAATCACCAATCACTAATCACGAATAACTAATCACGAATCACTAATCACGAAATCACGAATCACGAATCAGTAATCACGAAATCACGATATCACGAATCGCTAATCACGAATCGCTAATCACGAATCACTAATCACTAATCACGAAATCACGAAATCACTAATCATGAATCACTAATCACAAATCACTAATCACGAGTCACTAATCACTAATCTAATTTTTTTTTAGTGATTCGTGATTAGTGATTAGTGATTCGTGATTTCGTGATTTCGTGATTAGTGATTCGTGATTAGTGATTCGTGATTTAGTGATTCGTGATTTCGTGATTTCGTGATTTCGTGATTAGTGATTAGTGATTCGTGATTTCGTGATTAGTGATTCGTGATTCGTGATTCGTGATTAGTTATTCGTGAATCGTGATTAGTGATTAGTGATTAGTGATTTCGTGATTTCGTGATTCGTGATTCGTGATTAGTGATTCGTGATTAGTGATTCGTGATTAGTGATTAGTGATTCGTGATTTCGTGATTAGTGACTCGTGATTAGTGATTTGTGATTAGTGGTTAGTGATTTCGTGATTTCGTGATTCGTGATTCGTGATTAGTGATTCGTGATTAGTGATTCGTGATTAGTGATTAGTGATTCGTGATTTCGTGATTAGTGACTCGTGATTAGTGATTTGTGATTAGTGGTTAGTGATTTCGTGATTAGTGATTTCGTGATTAGTGATTTCGTGATTAGTGATTTGTGATTAGTGATTAGTGAATCGTGATTTCGTGATTAGTGATTCGTGATTCGTGATTAGTGATTCGTGATTTTGTGATTTCGTGATTTTGTGATTTCGTGATTAGTGATTCGTGATTCGTGAATCGTGATTAGTGATTAGTGATTTCGTGATTTCGTGATTCGTGATTCGTGATGAGTGATTCGTGATTCATGATTCACTCACTCACTCACTCACTCACTCACTCACTTAAAAACTCAATTCGGAGTCGTAAACTGCAGATGTAGGACTATGTTATTTTCTAATCACGAATCACTAATCACTAATCACGAATTACTAATCACGAATCACGGATCACGAAATCACGAAATCACTAATCACGAATTACGAATCACGAAATCACGATATCACGAATCACTAATCACGAATCACTAATAACTAATCACTAATCACTTATCACTAATCACTAATCACTAATCACGAATCACTAAAAAATATTAGATTAGTGATTTGTGATTAGTGATTCGTGATTAGTGATACGTGATTAGTGATTCGCGATTAGTGATTAGTGATTCGTGATTAGTGATTCGTGATTAGTGATTAGTGACTCGTGATTAGTGATTAGTGATTAGTGATTCGTGATTAGTGATTCGCGATTAGTGATTAGTGATCTAGATTAGTGATCGCGATTAGTGATTAGTGATTCGTGATTCGTGATTGGTGATTAGTGATCCGTGATTAGTGATTAGTGACTCGTGATTAGTGATTAGGGATTCGTGATTAGTGACTCGTGATTAGTGATTAGTGACTCGTGATTAGTGATTTGTGATTAGTGATTAATGATTCGTGATTCGTGATTTACTCACTCACTCAGTCACTCACTCACTCACTCACTCACTCACTCACTCACTCACTCACTCACTCACTTAAAAACTCAATTCGGAGTCGTAAACTACAGATGTAGGACTATGTTATTTCATACAAATTTTGGTTAGCGTTTTACCATCCACATGATATTGCTAATTTAAGTACAAAATTTCACAACAATCGGTCCAGTAGTTTCGGAGATTATCTGTCTAATAAAAATCCGGGACGGCAGACAGACGGACAGATAGACGGAAATGGGGAGACCTATTTCTTCATCTTCTAGGTGTCATGAAAGATCGAGAAAACGTAAAAGTAGAGAGTCGGCCGACGGACTCGATTACAATACTTCCTTTGCTTACGCTCGGGAAGTAAAAAGAATAAATTGAAAAACTGAAAAATCGAGAACGAAAAATTGAAAAATCAAAAACTGAAAAATCGAAAAATATAAATACCGAAAAATTGAAAAATCCAAAAAAAATCAGATATCAAAAAATTGTAAAATAAAAAAATCGAAAAAACTCAAAATTGAAAAACAACTGAAACATCGAAAATGTAAAATTTTAAAAATCGAAGATAGAAGAAAAACCGAAAAATCGGGAAATTGAAAAATTCTAAAATTGAAATGCCGAAAAATGAAAAATCTAAAAATTGAAAAATCGAAAAACCGAGAAATCTAAATTGAAAAATTGAAACATTTAAAAATCAAGACAACCCAAAATGGAAAAGTTCAAAACTGAAACAATTAAACTTTAAAACTTAATAAATCGAAAAAAAATCACGAATCACTAATCACGAATCACGAATCACTAATCACTAATCACGAATCACTGATCACTAATCACGAATCACTAATCACGAATCACGAAATCACGAAACCAAGAAATCACGAAATCACGATCAATGATCAGTGATCCGTGATTCATGATTAGTGATTTTATTTGTTTGGTGGTTTGCAATCTTGGGGTTTTTCTTTCTGATTTTCCTTTCGGATTTTTTAATTTCTAAGTTTTGCAGTTTAATTTTTCAATGTTCCTATTTTTTTCGATTTTTGTAGTATTTTTTAATTTTTCGTGGTTTGGAATTTTGGAATTTTTCAACTTTTAGTTTTCGATTTTTAATTTTTCAGTCTCTCGATTTAAATTTTTAGATTTTTAAATAACAACCATTTATTTACTAAAGTGTTCATTACACAAATCAAACTAAACAAAATAAATTAATTTTTATGTTTAGTATTCCGATTTTTAGTACTTTGTTTGATTTTTAAGTTTTGATGTTTCAATTTTTCGTTTCTTCAATCTTACGATTTTTTAGAAATGTGTTAAATTGTTAAATTTTTTACTTTTTCAATCTTGCAGTTTTAAAATTTTTAAGTTTTTCATTTTTGATTATTAATTTTCTCGGTGTCTCAACTTTTCAATTTTTCGATTATTTAATTTTTCAGTTCCTCAAATTTTCGATTTTCCATTCTTCAATTTTTCAGTTTTTTAGACATTTTAATGTTTCCTTCAATTTTGCGTTTTTTCCTCTCTATTTTTTTTACAATTTTTCAATTTTTCTATTTTCTATTTCCCAAAGTCTTAAACTTTTCGATGTTTTATTGTTATAATTTTTCGATTTTAGTTCGTTTTTTTCCGATTTTTGAATATTTTTTTAATTTTTAGTTATTTTATTTTTTGCTGGTTTCTGAAGAGTATCATAAATCTTTAGTCAAAATATATTTGCTTATCCCCTCCAAAAAATTGATGACGTCAGCTCGAAACTTTGCGGAATAAATCGTATCTAAACTGTACAAAATATGATGAGTCTGTACTTGTGATTTATCACTCTATTCATATTTTTTGGATTTGCATATACAGGGTGACTCAAAAAGATTAATGAATGCGTAAATTTATTTTACTGGTTTACTCAGGAACTACAAAGCCGAATGCTTTGCAATCTTGAAGATGTTTTGACATTATCATAAGCATGGTAAATTTTTGATCAAAATTTATTTGGTCGTCCCCCCTAAACAATGTATGACGCCACCACAAAATTTTGCTGAATAAATCCTATCTAAAATGTACAAAATATGGCGAGTCTCTTCTTGTGATTTATCATTCCATTCAAATTTTTTCTATTTGCATATACAGGGTGACTCAAAAAATTAGTGAATGCGTGAATTTATTTTATTGAGTTAATCAGGAACTACAAAACCGAATGCTTTGAAATCTTCCAGATGTTTTAAGGTTATAAAAAGAATAATAAATGTTTAGTCAAAATATATTTGCTTATCATCTCCAAAAAATTGATGACGTCAGCTCGAAACTTTGCGGAATAAATCCTATCTAAACTGTACAAAATATGATGAGTCTCTTCTTGTGATTTATCATTCCGTTCATATTTTTTCGATTTGCAAATACAGGATGACCCAAAAAAAATAATGAATGCGTATAAATGTGTTTTATTGATTTAATCAGGAACTACAGAACGGAATGTTTTGAAATTTTGCAGATGTTTTAAGGTTATAAAGAGCATAATAAATTTTTAGTCAAAATATATTTGATTATCTTCTCCAAAAAAACTGATGACGTCAGTTCAAAAGTTTGCCGGATAAATCCAATTTAGAATGTACAAAATATGATGAGTGTGTACTTGTAATTTATCATCCCATTCATATTTTTTTGAATTTGCATATAGCGGGTGACTCAAAAAAATAACAAATTCCTAAATTTATTTTATTCATTTACTCAGGAACTACAAAAGCGAATGCTTTGAAATCTACTGCGAAAAAAAACATAATAGGCATTCAGTCGTCACATTTCCGACAGCGAGGGAAGTACTGTCTAAACTCTTTAGACCAATTTTTTGATTTTTAAATTTTAGATCAGTTTTTCAATCTTTCGATTTTTTGATTTTTAAATTCCTGGATTTTGTTTTGCTAAATTTTCGATTTTTCGATTTCTTAGGCTCTTGATTTTTCAGTTTTTGGAATTTTTAAATGTTGGATATTCGACTCTGATTTTTCGACTTTTTGATTTTGCAATTCTTTAATTTTTGGACTATTCTTTAATTTACCGATGTTTCAGTTCTGGAATTTTTCAATTTTTCAAATCTTCAAATTTTCGATTTTTCTATTTATAAATTTTTGATTTCTCAATTTCTCGATTAATCGATTTTTTGATTTCCTGATATTGATTTTTCAATTTTTCAGTTTTTAATCGATTCTTCGACCCTTCGATTTCTCAACTTCTTGATTTTTTGGTTTTTCAGTTTTACAATCCCTTAATTTTTGATTTTTCAATTTTTACTATTCGATTTTTTGTTTTTCAATTTTTCCATATTTTAGTTTTGGTATTTTCAAGATTTTTCAATTTTTCACGATTTCCCAAATATTTACGATTTCGATGTCTCGATTTGTCGAGATTTCGATGTTTCGATTGTTCGAATGCTCAAATTCTCGATTTTTCAATTTTTTGATTTCTCGGTTTTCCTATTTTTCAACTTTTCGGAATTTCGATTTTCCAATTTTTCGATGAAAAGATTTTTTAATTCTCCGATTTTTCAATTTTTCGATTTCTTAAATTTTGGATTCTTCCATTTCTCTGTTTTTCGATTTTTCGACTTCTTTCTCGGTTTTCTCGTTTTTCAATTTCTTAATCTTCCGATGTTCCAGTTTTACGACTTCCCAATTTTTCGATTCTTTCATTTTTCTGTATTAAAATTTTTCAATTTTCCATGTTTATAAATTTTGGATTTTTCAATTTCTCACTTTCTCGATGAATCGATTTTCTACTTTTTCGACTTTTCAATTTTTCGACTTCTCGATTTTTCTATTCTTAAATTGTTGCATTTTGAATTTTTTTTTTCAGGTTTTCAGTTTCTCGAATTTTTAGATTTTCGTTTTCCAACTTTAATTTTTCGATTTTTGGATTTTTCGATTTCTCAGTTTTTCAAATTATCGAATTTTTGGTTTTTTGACTTTTCGATTTCTCGACTTCCCGATTTTACGGTATTTCGATTTTTCAGTTTTTCAGTTCAATTTGTAATTTTTCAAATTTTCGATTTTTCAATTTTTCGCTTTTTCGATTTTTCAATTTTAGAATTTTCAAAGTTTAGATGGATTCGATTTCTCATATTTCGATTTTTAATTTTTTAACGTATTTGTCGTGATTAATCGACTATTTTGTTTTGCGACCCTTCGTTTTCTCGATTTCTTGATATTTTGATTTCAGTTTTTCAGTTTTTCGATTTTTCTACTTCGAATTTTTGACCTTCCGTTTTCTCTCTCAATTTCTTGATTTTTTTGATTTTTAGATTTTCCAATTTTCAATATTTCAGTTTCTCTATTCTTCAAATTTTCGATTTCTGGCTTTTTATATTTTTCGATTCTTTCAGTTTTCGATTTTTAAATGTCTCCTTTTTTCGATTTCCCTATTTTTTGAGTAATCGTTTTTCCCTTTTTCGATTTTTAAATTTTGCGATGTTCCAGTTTCACAACTTCTCAATTTTTAAATTTTTCAATTTATAATGTTTCTAAATTTTCGATTTTTTGATTTCTCAATTTCTCGATTAATCGATTTTTTGGTTCTTAGACCTTTTGGTTCCTTGATTTTTATATTTTTCAAATTTTCACTTCTTTAATTGTTGCATTTTTCAATTTTTCAGGTTTTTGATTTTTTTTTAATTTTACATTTTCGACTTTGATTTGTAGACCGACGTTCCATTTTTCGACTTTTCAATATTTCGATTCTTCAATTTTTTAGTTTTTCGTGTTTTCGATTTTTCGTGTGTTCAAGTGCTCGATTTTTTGATTTATGGAGTTTTTTTAATTTTAAATTTTTCAGTTTTTTAAATTTTTAATTTTTTAATTTTTCGATGTTGGGCTGTTTCGATTTCTTAGTTGTTCTATTTTATGACATTTCGGCTTTTCAGTTCTTCAATTTCCATTTTTTCGTTTAAAATTTTTCGATTTTTCAATTTTTCGGTTTCTTAAACTTCGGATTTGTCTGGATTTTTCCGTTTTCTGTTTTTAGATTTTTCAGTTGTTCGATTTAAAAAAATTTTGATTTTTCGATTTTTAAAAACCAAACAATTTACCTATTTTTGCGTTATTCTCTTTAATTTTGATTAAAAACTTTGCAACGCTACCTAAGATTCTTTCGTTATTTTTCTGTTTCTTTTCCAGAACGCCGGCCCCGAGATCCTCTGGATCGACGGCCAGAAACCCATCTTCACCGTCGGCTTCAACCTCTACTCCACCGTCAACACCAAAGACCAACACCTCTTCAACCTCTTCCTCCACGCCGAGCGCCTCCTGGACCCCAAGCCCTCCGCCCTTCCTTCCGAAGTCGAGACGTGCAAAATCCTCAAAGCCCTCCACGCCATCCAACTCACCACTCTGATCACATTCCTGCCCACCCTCCTCAACCAACTCTTCAAACTCCTCGTCTCCGCCAACAGCGAAGAAATCGGCTTGAACATCATCCGGGTGCTCATCAACCTGGTGAACATGGTGTATGAAGCGGGACGCAGGGAGATCCTCCAAGCTTACGTCAAGTACGTGTTCATCACGCCTCTGAGCAAAAGGAACATCACAGTTCACGAAGAAATGAGCAAACACTTGCCGATTATTCTTCACCCGAACAACACCGATTTTTTAGTGGTCAATAAGTTTATGCATCATGGGGATTTTTTCTTTGATGTGATTGTGAAGGCCATGGCTCAACATCTGCTGCTGTCGGGGAGAATCAAGGTAGGTTTAAGCGGAGAATCACCACGAATGCTGCACAATGTGATTTTTTTACTTCCTGAGGGTAAGCTAAAACGTTTTAAACTTGTGTAAGCGTGGTAAATTTTTCATTTTTGAATTGTTTGTTTTTTAGAATTTTTCCGATTTTAAAATTTTTAGATTTTTCAACTTTAACCGCATAATTGAGAAATCGAAAAAGTGCAAAATCATAAAATTGAAAAATCAAAAAATTAGAAATTCGGTTACCTTTAAAAACGGAAAATTGTAAAATAATTAAAAAATAAAAAAGCTTGAAAAATTCAAATTGAAATTTTGAGCAATTAAAAAACCAAAAAATTGAAAATTTGTAAAATTGTAAAATTGAAAAATTAGGTGATTTATTTATTTAGTTATTTATTTATTTGATGATTGTAAAATCGAAAAATTATGAAACTGTAAAAATGAAAAATTGCAAAATTATTAAGTTCTAAAATTCAGATATCAAAGACGAAAAACTGAAAAATCTAGAAATTGGAAAATCTCATAATTGAAAAATTGATTCTTAAAAAATCGGGCAATTGAGAAATTGTAAAAATATTAAACTGAAACCTCAAAAAACTGCAAAATTACAAAATTGAAAAACAGTAATTGTAAACTTGAAAATTTATTAAACTGTGATACTGAAAAAATTCCATAAAATTAAAAGTGAATATCAAAAAATTTAAAAATCCAAAAATTGCAAAATCAGATAATTGTAAAACACAAAAATTACAAAATTTAAAAATCGAAAAATTGTGAAATTATGAATTTTGAATTTTGAAAAATTAAATTAAAAAAACTGGAAAATGAAAAATTGAATAATTGTAAAAACGAAAAATTCTAAAAACGAAGAATTATAAAATTGATAATTGAATATGTAATTGATTACTAAAAACGGAATAATTGAGATAATCCAAAGATTGTAAAAATGTAAAATTGAAAAATCAAAAACCCGTAAAATAAAAATGTTGAAATTAAAAATAGTATAATTGTAAATAGGAAAATTGATTACACTGTAAAAACGAAAACTTGAAAAATCGAATGATTCCAAAGCCGCAAAAATGGAAAAATCGGAAAATTGGAAAATCAGATATGTATTGAAAAATCAAAAAAATGCAAATAGTGTAATTTTAAAATTGAAAAGTTGAAAATTTAAACAATTGTAAAATAGAAAAATAACAAAATTGAAAAATCGGAAATCGAAAATTTGAAATACATATTAAAGGCCAAAAAAATTAGAAAATCGAATCAATCAAATTCGGATAATTGAAAAATTAAAACTTGAAAAATTGGATACTTTTAAAACCGAAAAATTCCAAAATAATTAAAGTGAAAAATCAAAAAATTTAAAATTACAAAATAAAAATTGGATAACTGTAACTCGAAAGTCTATTAAACCGTAAAAATGAAAAAATGCAAAATTATTAAAATTGAAAAACCGAAAATGGAAAAATGAAAAATTGAATAATTCCAAAACCGGAAAATTGAAATATCGAGAAATTGGAAAATGAAAAATTGAATGATTGCAAAACCGAAAAATTGAAAAATCGAGAAATTGGAAAATCAAAAATTGGAAAACTGATTCATTAAAAACTGGATAATTCAGAACTCGAAAAATTCTAAAAATATAAAACTGAAAAATCGAAAACTTGCAAAATTACGAAACTGAAGAATAGTATAATTTTAAAATTGAAAAGTCCATAATTGTAAAATAGAAAAATAACAAAATTGAAAAATGGAAAATTTAGTCAAATTATGAATTTGAAAAATCAAGAACTTGGGAAATTTGGAAATCGAAATTTTGAAATATTAAAGATCAAAAAAATTAGAAAATCGGAACAATCAACTTCGGACAATTGAAAAATTAAAACTTGAAAAATTGAATACTTTTAAAACCGAAAAATTCCAAAATAATTAAAGTGAAAAATCAAAAACTCTAAAATTATAACATAAAAATTGGATAACTGTAACTCGAAAATCTATTAAACCGTAAAAATGAAAAAAATGCAAAATTATTAAAATTGATAAACCGAAAATGGAAAAATGAAAAATTGAATAATTCCAAAACTGGAAAATTGAAAAATCGAGAAATTGGAAAATCTGATATTGAAAAATCAAAAACTGGAAAATTGATTAATTTAAAAACGGAGAATCCAGAATTACAAAAATTCTAAAAATATAAAACTCAAAAATCAAAAAATTGGAAAATTACGAAACTGAAGAATAGCATAATTTTAAAATTGAAAAGCTGAAAAGTCCACAATTGTGAAATAGAAAAATAAAAAAAATTGTAAAATGGAAAATTTAGTCAAATTATGAATTTGAAAAATCAAAAACTTGGGAAATTTGGAAATCGAAATTTTGAAATATTAAAGATCAAAAAAATTAGAAAATCGGAACAATCAACTTCGGACAATTGAAAAATTAAAACTTGAAAAATTGGATACTTTTAAAACCGAAAAATTCCAAAATAATTAAAGTGAAAAATCAAAAACATTCAAAATTACAACATAAAAATTGGATAACTGTAACTCGAAAATCTATTAAATCGTAAAAATGAAAAAATGCAAAATTATTAAAATTGATAAACCGAAAATGGAAAAATGAAAAATCGAATAATTCCAAAACCGGAAAATTGAAAAATCGAGAAATTGGAAAATCTGATATTGAAAAATCAAAAACTGGAAAATTGATTAATTTAAAAACGGAGAATCCAGAATTACTAAAATTCTAAAAATATAAAACTCAAAAATCAAAAAATTGGAAAATTACGAAACTGAAGAATAGCATAATTTTAAAATTGAAAAGCTGAAAAGTCCACAATTGTAAAATAGAAAAATAACAAAATTGAAAAATCGAAAACTTGGAAAATTGGAAATCAAAATTTTGAAATATGAAAGGTAAAAAAATAGAAAATCGAAGCAATCACTTCGGATAATTGAAAAATAAAAAATTGAAAATCGGATACCTTTAAAAACGAAAAATTCCAAAATAATTAAACTGAAAAATCAAAAACTTGGAAAATTGGAAATATTAAAATTCAAAAAAATTAGAAAATCAACTTCCGACAATTGAAAAATTGAAACTTGAAAAATTGGATACTTTTAAAACCGAAAAATTCCAAAATAATTAAAGTGAAAAATCAAAAACTTTAAAATTACAAAATAAAAATTGGATAATTGTAAACTCGAAAATCTATTAAACCGTAAAAATGAAAAAATGCAAAATTATTAAAATTGATAAACCGAAAATGGAAAAATGAAAAATCGAATAATTCCCTAAAACCGGAAAATTGAAAAATCGAGAAATTGGAAAATCTGATATTGAAAAATCAAAAACTGGAAAATTGATTAATTTAAAAACGGAGAATCCAGAATTCCAAATATAAAACTCAAAAATCAAAAAATTGGAAAATTACGACCCTGAAGAATAGCATAATTTTAAAATTGAAAAGCTGAAAAGTCCACAATTGTAAAATAGAAAAATAAAAAAAATTGTAAAATGGAAAATTTAGTCAAATTATGAATTTGAAAAATCAAAAACTTGGGAAATTTGGAAATCGAAATTTTGAAATATTAAAGATCAAAAAAATTAGAAAATCGGAACAATCAACTTCGGACAATTGAAAAATTAAAACTTGAAAAATTGGATACTTTTAAAACCGAAAAATTCCAAAATAATTAAAGTGAAAAATCAAAAACTCTAAAATTACAACATAAAAATTGGATAACTGTAACTCGAAAATCTATTAAATCGTAAAAATGAAAAAATGCAAAATTATTAAAATTGATAAACCGAAAATGGAAAAATGAAAAATCGAATAATTCCAAAACCGGAAAATTGAAAAATCGAGAAATTGGAAAATCTGATATTGAAAAATCAAAAACTGGAAAATTGATTAATTTAAAAACGAAGAATCCAGAATTACTAAAATTCTAAAAATATAAAACTCAAAAATCAAAAAATTGGAAAATTACGAAACTGAAGAATAGCATAATTTTAAAATTGAAAAGCTGAAAAGTCCACAATTGTAAAATAGAAAAATAACAAAATTGAAAAATCGAAAACTTGGAAAATTGGAAATCAAAATTTTGAAATATGAAAGGTAAAAAAATAGAAAATCGAAGCAATCACTTCGGATAATTGAAAAATCAAAAATTGAAAATCGGATAGCTTTAAAAACGAAAAATTCCAAAATAATTAAACTGAAAAATCAAAAACTTGGAAAATTGGAAATATTAAAATTCAAAAAAATTAGAAAATCAACTTCCGACAATTGAAAAATTGAAACTTGAAAAATTGGATACTTTTAAAACCGAAAAATTCCAATATAATTAAAGTGAAAAATCAAAAACTTTAAAATTACAAAATAAAAATTGGATAACTGTAACTCGAAAGTCTATTAAACCGTAAAAATGAAAAAATGCAAAATTATTAAAATTGATAAACCGAAAATGGAAAAATGAAAAATCGAATAATTCCAAAACCGGGAAATTGAAAAATCGAGAAATTGGAAAATCTGATATTGAAAAATCAAAAACTGGAAAATTGATTAATTTAAAAACGAAGAATCCAGAATTACTAAAATTCTAAAAATATAAAACTCAAAAATCAAAAAATTGGAAAATTACGAAACTGAAGAATAGCGTAATTTTAAAATTGAAAAGCTGAAAAGTCCACAATTGTAAAATAGAAAAATAAAAAAAATTGAAAAATGGAAAATTTAGTCAAATTATGAATTTGAAAAATCAAAAACTTGGGAAATTTGGAAATCGAAATTTTGAAATATTAAAGATCAAAAAAATTAGAAAATCGGAACAATCAACTTCGGACAATTGAAAAATTAAAACTTGAAAAATTGGATACTTTTAAAACCGAAAAATTTCAAAATAATTAAAGTGAAAAATCAAAAACTTTAAAACTACAAAATAAAAATTGGATAACTGTAACTCGAAAATCTATTAAACCGTAAAAATGAAAAAATG